ATGGATATGTTTAACAGAACCATAGAAATTGTCAAAATCTGGTAAATTCTAAACCATAGGTACTTAAAAACTAATGGGGGAATATCTTTATGCAGGAGGGAGCTCTTAGCTGGTGACAGTGAGGAGGTAACTGGTGTTTGATTAGTCCTCAGTGAAAGAGGAGTTGTGAATTTCAATGCCCTCACATAGACTAAGAAGCCTCATGCAGACCATACCTAAGGATCTGCTGGCACCCTGAGTTTGTCAGTCTTCTGTAGTTTGTTTGGGCGTTTCAGCCCTGACCTCAATTTTATAAATCCCATTCAACACTTTAACATGAAAAAAAAGTCATGTCATAATTCCAGCTGCAAAACTTTGTGGTTCTTATTCATCACTCATATTCTCTTTGCAGATGGTAGTGGAGCTGTAATATGGGATAAACCGTCAATTTCTGGAACATTTGATGAATCATGCAATTGCAACAGAACTGTATCCTGGGGGTGGAGTAGCTTCATATCCCACCGTGAGATGAGACGGAGAAGCTTCCTGAAAAATGATGACCTGATTATTTTTGCAGAATTTAATGGTAAAGACCCATTCCCTTATTCTCCTTACAAAATGGGTGATTCTTTATGTTTTCATACATTCAAGTAACTACTGCACCTGTCTCCAAGTTGTCTTCTCTTCTAACGGGGATCAACTTTAAAAAGCATTTCTGTGTCTTAGTTTCAGGTGGGTAATATTGACTAAAGTGATTATGAGTTCAGAGGGATCCAAATGGCAGTGAGTTTTGGAAGGTTAACTTCTTAGACAACTTGAAGCACCCTGAACAGTACCTATGTCCATTTCTAACTAAAAGGCCATCCCCACTGTATTTATTTTCAAACATATGTGGCGTAATTTTTTGAAGTACGGAATATCACAGATTTACCTAACCAGTTTTGGTAATTTCAGTGTTATTTTCTGTCTTGTGCTTTAAATACACAAAACATGCTGTGTAACAGCAAGAGTTCTTTAAAAGGCAAATGGACAAGGAGTGCCCTCTGGTCCACAAGACACTGTGTGAGCCCCTGGTAGGAAGTGTACTACATACAGCTTCACTCACTGATATCTGATGTCTTTCTCCCCACTTTCCTTTTCTAAAAGATATAATTCACCTCAATAACACTGAAGTTCCTGTTGCATCTGTACAATCTGCCCTCACGGGAGGCCTCATCCTTGAGAGGCAGAAGAGAGCAGCCCAAGATGTGGAGCCTGTTCAAGACCAGCTGCCTTATCTGCAGGACCCCTGTGACCCAAACCCTTGCCAGAATGACGGGGTCTGTGTGAATGTGAAAGGAAAAGCAAGCTGCAGGTACCACAGACCTCTTCCCTCCTTGCTCTCTCTTTCTTCTTCAAATTATGTGGCTAATCAGTTTTCAGAGCTACAGATTTCAGAGGTCTAAGCCATTAGGTCTTCAAGGAACAGTAGAAACAAAACTCTTTGCCACAGTGACTTGATTTCTACCAGCAGCCATGAGGGGAGATTTCTTTCCATAAAGCAAAGAAACCCCTTTTGTGGTGCTTCCAGGGTATGTAAATAGCATCCAAACAAAGTGGGGATGTTGTGACATGAACTCCTCTAATGGGAACTGCACATCCAGGATAGTGAATGTGAGGACCTTCAGGTGAGTCTATAGGGCAGGACAAAACTCCTGATACATGTGGGTCTGTACTTTTTTTCCCAGGTGCCCATCAGGACAAGCCTTCTTCTTCACGGGTGAGAGGTGTGAGTCAAGACAGGTCCATGGGGACATCCTGGGAATGACAATTGGTGGAATTGCTGGAACCATTGTCTTAACCATCGTCCTCATTTCCATGATGGCTAGAAGATAAAAAAACTGCAGGGCAACAAATCTCAAGCTGGTGTTTTTCCGTAGTTCATAAAACATTAGTTTTTACAGTGAAAAATTATGAATACAAGCTGTAGAAGACTAGTCAACATATGGATGGAAAGCTCTGTCAACACCTTGGCAACAATCTGCTTTCTCTGAGAGATGTGGCAGTTAAAATGTGTAATGTAGAACTGCTGTCTGATGAAAGTTTATACAATGCCTTTGTTGTGTGTTCTTTGAAAATTTCATTTCTTCAACCCACAGCAAGCAGCAGTGCTGAGAGTCCATGCATTTACTCTCAGCCACAGTTCAAACTTAGGTCAAATAACTGGTAGAACCTCTCAAAACACTGGTAAAAGTCCCAGAGAAGCACATATATAAAGATTCTAGAAATGTTCCTACAAATATTGCTCAAAAAATCTAAAGGGTACAAATCCATAGTTACGTAAGCCAGTACATCAACACTAACTTTCCCTGGAGCTGTGATGTTTTACTAATGCTGATTAACTATTACACAGAATTCATAAAATACTATTGCATGATTTTGGCCAATTCTCTGTCAGGGAAATAATTTCACATTAAACCTAGTTGTCTTTCTAAAAAGTCCCATCACACAAGGTTTTCAAATCTTCAAATGCAAATCTATTCTGTGGGTGTAATCCAAGGGGTTTTTAAACATCTATAAAACTCCCATGATTTCATCAGGCTCTGGATGAAATGGGAGCAGATTATCAGTTATCAAAGGGTAGAATCTGTCATGGCTGCCATTAAATTCCCATCTCTTTGGAAATCATCATCTTAAAAGTCAAGGAGAGGGATGGGAGTATATGAAGATGAATGCTGTGGTGCTAGAGTGTGATGAATAAGGTGTTAACATCCTCAAACTTATTGCAGATGTCAGGAAGGGAGTGATGTAGTATGACCTAAGATCTCTGCTTTCAAGGGCTCTAACAGTTTTTACACCTGAAACTTTGATACCCAGGTTTCCTTCAAAAGCAGTTTCTTCTTGTCTGAAGGAGTTCAGAAAGCAAATAATCACAGAGGGTGACACTATCCTTGTACTTATCAGATACCTGTCACAAGGGATGGCAGCCAAAACAAAATGCACTCTCATGGCAGTAGTAGTACATAGAGAGCTGTTTTCAGCTTGGGTTCATCCTGGTGCTCAGAGCAAGCCTGTGAGTGGAGATAAACCATCCATTTAATTGAGGCATTACCAGCGAGTTAATACTCTGCCTTTGGAATGAAATCAAAACAAACACATCAGTTTTTCCTGCACCTGACTGGTGGGACTCATAACAGGCAACAGATAATTACAGATTGGATTACCTTCTGCTAGATGGATTAGGGACTCTCCCTTGGGTCAAGGGAGTCTCCCACCCAAGTTGACAAGCTCATAAATTACACGGGGTTATGGAATGAAAGACAAGAGATCCATAAATTTTCATAAAATTGTGTGGTGCAGCTTGCTAGTTAATGTGTGAGACAGAGAAACCAAAGGCAGAGAGGATGCAGGCAAGTCCTGTCCAAGTGCTATCCTGCATGTAATTTTGGTGTCCCTAGAGTAAAGGGGCACCAAGAATAAGACTGCAAGTTGTCACTATGCACTCCATAAGTATACATATGCTCTGACACTGTTCCATTTGCTTGTGGAGATAGAGTCCAAGTCTTCACTCTGCCAAACCAGACACTGACTCCTCTCTGCTAGAAGAACTTGTGATGGCTTCCACCACAGAGGATGTCCTGTCAGACAGATGGGGTACAGCCCAGGATGTGACTGGTGTGACACACCCAGGTAGGGAGCCCAAAGAAGGTGGCAGAAGCAGTGCCCTCCACCAGCTGTGCTCACCCACAGCTCTCCTCCCTGGTGCAGCAGCTCCATCCTCTTCCCTCAGGGCTAGGGGGTGATTTCCAGTCCCCAGTTTAATTGGCAAAGAGGAGTGTTAGGCTGGGGTTGGCATTACATGCAGCCAGGCCCAGGGCGTTCAGCTGCACTGCTGAGACACCTGGGTGGGTTCAGGTCTGGGCCCCTCACAACAAGAAAGACACTGAGGTGTGTTTCACATGGAGTGTCTCCAGAGAAGGGCAACAGATCTAGGGAAGGGTCTGGAGCACAAGGAACAGCTAAGGGAGCAGGTGGGCAGCTCAGCCTGGAGAAAAGGAGGCTTAACAGGAACCTGATCACCTTCTACACTCCCTGACAGGAGGCTGAAGCCAGGTGGGAGCGTCAGTCCCTTCTCCCAGGTAACAAGTGGTAGAACGGGCAGGAACAGCCTCAAGTTGCACCAGGGGAGGTTTAGGTTGGATACTGGGAAAAATTTCTTCACTGAAAGGGGAGTCACTGTCCCTGGAGGTATTTAAAAGACTTGTAGATGTGGCACTGAGGGACATGGTTTAGTGATGGGATTGGCAGTGATGGGGGAATGGTTGGATTCAATGATCTTAGAAGTCTTTTCCAACTAAAGTGATTCTTTGATTTTGCAACCTAAAGTAAAAGCTAAGAACAACTCGGAAAGGGTAAAAGTTAGAAGAAATTATCGTAGCTTTTGTGTAGATTGTATCATATGCCTTACTCTGGTTTTCTAACAGGATAGTACTAAGGAAATTCCATGCTCCGTGTGTGAATCTGCCTGTCAGCCCCATATCTTCTCAACAGCATTGAATCCTGTCAGCTGCTGAGGATTAACAGCCTCAGAGAGTTCTTGTTGCGAATTCACAAGTATTAAAGGTGGGCAGAGCTTGGTAGAGTTACCACAGAGGGAAGGATGGGCAGAATGTGCCCATCTCAGCCCTGGCGAGCCCCAGACTGATCTGAACCACCTCCATGGCTCTGCCCTCCCCACGGCACATCCAGTTTCCTACCAGCTGCTGGTGACAAGGTGGGTGAGGGAAGTTACACCAGCAGAAAGTACTGTGTGGTATAGGGGAGAGTTCTAGGGTGGCCCTAAACTTGTGGGGCAGAGATATGTGAAGAAGTCAATGGAAACTCACATGATTGGAAGGAGGAGGGTGTTGGAGAGTACAGGAAGCAAGCCTGTAAGAAATTAATCTCCTTTCTTCTGCTCATGAAATTAATGCATCCACCTGAGGTTGCTACAAGGTAACATGCAGTTGAACATACACTGCAGCTGTTTCCCAAACATGTTTCCTGGAAGAGTGTAAGAAAGAAAGATGCCAGCCAAACTGATGAGCCTTGAAAACATCAGGAATCAGAGCATAATTGGCTTTGTGGTCCAATGAAAATGTATCAGAACTACAAAGCTGTACACCCCAGTTCTGGGGCACATTTATTTTCACATTAGTGTGGGTAAAATGGTCCTGGCACTGTCTTGTTTATATCAAAGGTTCCTAAAGTTTTTAAGGCATGAAGAGTGAAATACGAGCTTGAAGCACAATGCAAAAGTTGTTCAGCAACTGTCCCAGTCCAAAAATTTCTAAGTAGGGAAGGTGAGAGAAGGCAAGTCAGGGCTGCAGAGACCTGTATGTCACAATCCCCTCCTTTACTACTTTTCCTTTGCTGGAATACATCAGAGGAAGGTGCTAAGGCAGTGGCTGATCTCCATCCAATGCTATAAAAGGTGAGTAAGGGAGAGATCCCACCCTTTCTAGATACCATGTGAACCTGATAGGCTCACATTGCTACATGCTGTAACTTAGTGCTTTGCAGATAAGCAGGGGGAGGTACACAAGTGACAGGAATCATGAGGGAATGAGCCCTGTGACAGCCTTGACTTTAGGAAGGGGATGTGATCGATCAGGACAAATGGAAAAATTGAGCCAGCTGCCAAAAATGCCAGACTCCTGAAGGAAGGAATCTGCTGGTGAGCCCACTACCCTTTTTGCCTATGGTGAAGATTTGGTATTTATTGTTGAGAGTGGGTGGAAGGGGTATAGGATGGCTGCTGCCATGTGTTTTCCCTTCTTCCTTCACTCAGCCCTCCCACTTTTTCTTCTCTCCCAATTTACCTTGATCTGTGTATGCATACAAGTGAAGCCTTGGCCCCAAGACTGCACAGTTGATTTCTTAGCTGCTTCTCTTTGCCTTGTTAGAAAAGCCATGAGAATTCATCAAAGACTTGGCCTTTGAAGAGCCACCCAAGGATGGCCCTTTGGTGCCAGACAGCTTTGGCATCCCATTCTGATCTCTCATTCACAGACAGGCAGGACCCAGGCTCAGCTAAATGGGGAGGTGTGGTGAAACCTCAGAGATGAAATGTTTGCATTCCAGTGCAGACACGGTGTGGGACTGGGACTGTGCTGCATACAAGGACATCTGCTTTACAGTTTATGTAAAGCCTGTTCTAACTCAGTGGTTCTCCAGCAAGTCAATATTGCACAAGCTACTTCCAGAGTGAATTGGACCAAATGGCTGCCCAAAGGCAAGTTTTTCTTGGAATAATGTGGAAAGGTCAGATTTGCAAGTTTCCACTGGCCATGAAGTTCAAAGATTCTGGATTTTCATCTCTAAATGTGTTCTAGTTCTAGTATTATATTTACATCTTCAAGCAAAAGGCAATTACCTGCAGTATAAATATTGCATTTGATTGTTGCTTGATTATTGTCTTCAGTCATCACCACCTGCTCATACCAAACCATCACATATGTTTCTAACTGAAGGGAACAGTTTCCCATCCTAATTCATCCCAAAGTTCTGGGAACAGGTTCACCATTGGTAAACATAGGCCTGATTCCCTGACAACCAAATGGAGCTGTATCACCTCACAGCAGTATTTGAAATTGGCCTCAAATCTAAATCTTTATGATTCCATCTGTCATATTTTACATTAAATTTTGTACATTTGTGTGTGTTACAGATACTTTGCAGGCTCTCTCATAGCCCTCTGCTTAAGACAGAAATCCTGCCTTTAAAGGTGTAATGGTTTGGAAATAACTGGATCCACAAATGTAGTGTTAGAGCAATAATTTATATCAAACCATTCATCCTGCCTGGCACATGGTGATTTATATTCACTGCAGAGTTGACTCTCTGAGCCCTCCAAGTGTGATTCTCCTCTGAGAGGAGACCCAAACAGTACAGACTTTACACAAGACATTCCTTGCAGACTTAACACTATTATGCATTAAATAAATGCAGTCCCCTCTGTGGCAGAGGGCAGCAACCATCTCTGTCTTACCACATTACATATCAAGGGAAGGACAAATATTGTTAAGGATATAAAGCTTCCTTTTCTTCAAAAATATGCCACGTGGGGCTTCCAGTACATTCCATCTGAACGAAGACCACGCAGGAGTAATCACGGCCTTCATTTTAGCTAAGCCAAAGGTGAAGATCTGAAATGGACCTTCTCAGTTGGGAATTTTTGATTCCAGAAAAGTCTTAAATAGAAGGTGAAGACCACTATACCCTGTGGCCTTTCCAGACTGCAATACGAGGGCAGGAGAGAAGCTATGAGGTACTTGTGTATCTACACAGGCCTTTGGGATCATTCAGAGGGTTAATAGGGGAAATACCAAAACCACTGGACAACAGCTGTGTGTAGCACTGCAATTCATGGCTCAGTACTGCATAGTGCTAAGCACCCGCTCAAGGGCTGAGAATTCGTCACTCCCAATGTCCTTTCTTGCACCTGAAGGCCTTCAAATCTTTGTCATCTCTTCTGAGAGATTGGCAGACCATGTAAAATTTCACCTCTCACAGCTTCCCTGCCTTACACGTTAACAAGAAATGATTGTTCCAGAAGAATGCACCAAAGGCACGGTTTAGTCAAAATGAAGCAGTCCACTTCTCCATGACTCCCGGGTACTTTTTGTGTGTGTCTTGGAAAGGGCAGAGGTCCCTTCAGAGTTATGTGATTTAGCATTTGTTGTGCTTCAGTTAAGCAAAGAATATGCCTTGGAAGTGTTTTCAGTGGAAGAGGTGGATGGCTCTGAAGAAGATACTCTGTATTTTCCTGCAAAACAAAGCACAGTGATAGGACATTAGGACAGATAGCCTGGGACATGCTGGCAGTGTAAAGTAGGGGTAGTTACCTCTGTGCTGATGACCCAGGTGGCCCTGATTTGCCCTGAAGCCCTGACACTGACTGGATTACAGCAATACCAGCAACCACAGAACTCACTGTGTTTGGTGACACAGCCAGGATAAGTCAGCTTGGATGGCCACTCAAGTCACAGGACAGTGATTTACTCACACAAATGGAAGCACTTAGTGGTCCTCCTTGAGCATGGGGATGCATCCAGAACACAGGTTCTTGAGATGAATCCCAGCTCACTCCTCCTGTGATCACAAGGCTACCTAAGACCCAAGTGCATGGAGCCTGAGAGCAGAGTGCGGAAGAGGGATAACAATGGGGGAGTTTCAGGTGGCAGAAGCATGGAAAGCAGTTGTGGGCAAGTCTCATTCTTCTGGTGGGAGGCTCCTGTGTCTGGCTAACGTGCTCATGTCTCCTTGTTCCATTATCTGACTAATAAATAAGATTTTAAAAAGCAGATGCTTGTCTGCAGTAAACTCCTTCATATCCTGCTTTAACCGTATCTCACCGTCTTCTCTGGACAATGTTTGGATGCAAAGACTACCCACTTAAGAATGAAATTATATTTCCAGCAATGCTTTTTGCAAAATGAAGTCATAACTGAAATGGTGATGTCCATAAAATGACAAGCCAGAGAGCCTTTGCAGAGATACAGCTTTAGGGTGGTGAAGAGTACATGAATGATGAATGAGCTGTGTCATGATCTTATTAAGCTCAAAACAAAGCTCAGTTAGTGGGTTTTAGAATTGGTGAAACATGCCACCTGTTTCAGAGACAGACATTTATACTGCTAGCATTGAACTATGATTGACTTCTTACAGCTTCTTTGCATTACAAGATTAAATACAATCTAAAGATGCATGGAGAGACAAACAGGCTGATAGATACCAGGACAGACAGACCCTGGCAGTGAGAACACAGGCAAAGCCCCTTGTCTGTGCTTCAGAAAAGGAGGTCTATTGTCACATACCTGTTTTCCCACATAAGTTGTTAAAGGTTCTTGAAAATGGGTAGCTCATAGCAAGCATTGGTGTCACCAGGATCAGGGAGGATGACTGTAAAAGAGAAAATTGTTTTTTGTCAAAAGCCTAGAACTTTTCTGTATCTGCATTTGAGGCAGAAAATGGTTCCAGTAAACTGTTGTTCAGTAGTACAAGCAAGCAATCCACAGAGGGCCAAGATAAATGTTTGTGAGGCATCAAGGTCACACATTTACGTGTTTATGGTGGCAATGAAGAAGATCAACTTTAAACGAAACTACAGGACACAAACAGCTTGTCTCTAACTTTTGGCCAGGGGAAGACAGCTTAGACTTCAGAGCTACCATCAGACAGTATGGGGTTCTGGTCACTTCTCTGAGGCAGTGCAGACATTAAGGTAAACAGAAAAGCTAAGATTTATGTGAATGGGGATTGTTCTTGATGGCCAATAGCCTGAGATAATCCGAGGCAAGTTTAACTTGGCACACTAGAGGGCATTAGAACACAACTCACTGCAGTCCTGATGGGAAGGAAGGAATTTTTGCTGCTAAAATGAAGTTTCTTTTTAATTTCTGGAGTGGTTTGAGAATTTAATTAGATTCCTCCAAAAGGTGTGTTTAAAAAAAGGCACGGAAAACACATCTTTTTCTGTTCGATCTTTCCTGTTTGTTAGTGGGGAATTTAGGTAGTGTTGTGTGCTGTCACCTATATCATAAGGTGGTAGAGGAAAAAGGTAAATGAATCACATATAAAAAGTTCGACAAAAGACTTTGCTATTGTTTTATTTGTTAATTATCAGACCTCAACAGGCTGAAGAAATGGGATGACAGGAACCCTATGAAGTACAGCAGAGGGAAATGCAAAGTACTCCTGTCCCTGGGGAGGAACAAACACACACACCAGGACATGTTGGGGGTTCTCTGACTGAAACAGAGTGAAGACAAAGCCAGACTTTTCTCCTTGGTGCCCAGTGAAAGAACAAGAGGCATTGAAACAAATAAAAATACTGGAAATCCCACTTAAGAAGACACTTTTTCACTGTGAGGGTGGTCAAACACAGGAAAAGGCTGCAGAGAGAGATTGTGGTGTCTCCATCCTTGGAGCTGCTCAAACCCCAACTGGACAGAGCTCTGTGCTCTAGATGGCCATGCTCTGAGTGGGAGGGTGGTACTAGATGATCTCTGGAGGTAATTTCTCACTTCAGACATTCTGTGATTCCTGTGGAAGCTGGAGTGTTTTGATCCAGTGCTGCTCTTCTGAACTGACAGTTCAACCTCAATGGACTCCTTAATTCCTTTCAGCCTATATACTCATCTTCTTAATTATCCTGGCTTTTAAGTCGGCTTCCTAGTTCTTTAGCAATACCTGTACAGGCTCTCCTGAATAAACCCTGTTCAGACACCAATATAAAATTAAGCTTTATTGTCATAGAAGAATGATGCTAATACCATGAGGGGAGAGGGGGAGGTGCGTGTTGGAACCAGATGATCTTTAAGGTCACTTCCAACTCAAACCATTCTATGATTCCTACACATCCTGGCATCTTTGGGAAACGCAGAAGTGCAAGTTGAAACAAGCACTTCTGTGTCAGAATACACAGTTTACCCATCCTCATGCAGCAATCCCAGATAGAGGTATTTTATTCCTGTTGGCTGAAACTTTTCTGTGATCTGTGCCTGGGAATGTGGCTCCTCTGGTGCAGAAGTGGAGACGAAGACACCTTTGGCATCAGCAGGAAGATGACAACAAAGACCTCTGTGGGCACAACATGTCCTCAACCAGCAGAGCTCTTTGTGAGGTGAACATCAGTCCACAGCCTCAGCTCTTGGCCCTCTCCTGGGGCTGTAAGACACATCCTAGGTCACTGAGGACATGAGCTCCCTGTGTGGTTGGCCTGACATATTCTGCTTGAGAAGTTTGTCAAGCCTCATTGTAAAAGCCTTTAATTCTGTGCTTTTACTCCTTTGTTCACACTGGGAGACCGTTCCCCATCCTTTCTAATGGGTAGTAGTTGCTTAATGCCATAAGCAGATTTGCCCTTGGTTGGATCCAAGGATCCTCCAGCCAAGTTGTCCCCATGCCAGCATTTTCCTGTGGCTTAAACAGCTCAGCCTCCCTTTAGTTATTCTGCATGAAAGGCCTATGGTGCTGTGAGATCTGTGGTGGTGAAGGACACATGGAGAGAGGAACGAGAAGCTGCTAAAGTTGGAAGGTGTGAAGGGAGAGATGTGTGACTCCACAGGACAGTCCAGCTCCAAGGCTGCCCAGTAGCCTAGAGCAACTGAGCCCTGGTTTACCCTTTTCAAACACCTATGGAACATTTTTCTCAGAGTCTTGACCTCTGGAGCACAAACTGAAATGGAAGAAATTCCCCTTAATCATAAGAAAAAAATTAGTATTTTTTTATGCTGAGGATGACAAAGCACCACAGTTTTTGTGTCAAAAGAGTTAGTGTGTTCTCCAGCTTTAGAGATACTGAAAACCTGATGGGACAATGTAACCTGATGGGACAATGTCCTAAGCAACCTGCTCTAATTTATCTTGCCACTCATCAGTGGCCAGTTATTTTCCTGAGGCACTGTGTAAACTTTATTTTTCTGGTAAAGATGGTAGTGGAAATGGTTTCCCCCTTAAATGTGAATGCCTATCCCAAGCAGAGGTATTTTCAGATGCCTGTTCAAGCTGTGCTTCAATGCAGGGAGGAATACAAGAGCCACTGGGCCAGAGAAACACTGTGGATGGAAGAGAAGCCTTCCAGGACCTTCTTTAAGAATCCAGTCCTCATTTGCAATAATTTTTTATTATTCTTCTTTTTAGGCACTGAATATCTTGTGTTGAACTCGGGAATTTGCAGGGTGTGGGACCAAAGTCTCTCCTCCTCCAGAAGCATATTCATTTACATTCTACTTTTTGCTCATTAAAATATGAGTCTTTGCAACACATAGACATGATCTGGCAAAAGATTCATAATTCCTCCAGTTTTCTGTTCCCAGAGAAAGGGAGGCTAACCTGTCTCCTTGTCTCATGAGTTCAAGTTGCAGTAACTCCATCCTCTCCTGCTCATAGGTGAAGGGGATCTTACCCAAGAAGTCCCCTTTGCATTTCTCTCACGTTGTGAAAAAGTAATAGAGCCACAGAAATTTTCTGTTTTCTAACTGAAGTTTCAGTTACATTTTATATTTTTTGTTGTGGAATTTAGAGCAAATGTCCACCAACTTCCTTCTCATTTTTTACCAGTTATAGGTACAATAATGAACTTTGAAAATCAGGCATATGTTCATAATTGTGTTGTTAGTGCCTTCTCTGACTAGTTCTAATAAATAGTCCAAAATATAAAGTGCATTTGATTTAAGAGACACTTGGAGAATGTTAGACTATTCAGCAGTAACTGAAATACATTCTTAGGTCTAGATTCTAACCTTTGATTGCTGTGAACTCCATTTGGATGTTGAATTCCTCTTCAACAGGGCTTCTTGTATCTATGTGTTAAAAAATTAATCAATCAGTATTTACAGAAAATCTGTTCAAATTCCAACAATATTTTGACATAATTTAGGAAATAGTTTGAATCCTTACCTTCTTGTCCCAGAGAGTCCCAAACACCAAAATGAATAATCCCTAGGAGACAGATAATTACATGCAGTTTGATGACACCAACCTTTATTGCAGCACCTCATAATTATCTCAAACATTGTCCATGGTGACTATTTAAACTCTGAACTCTTTGATAGAGGTCATTTTTCTAACTTCATATCACATAGTGGGTTGCTGATATGTTCACCAGGAGTTCATCAGGCCTGGCCTATTTAAATGTTGTAAAAATCATACTGACTGAAAACTCTCAATCATGTGTGTTTTGGTTAGTTCCTCTCTTTGTTATTAGTACTGCTCAACTGTTCGTGGTGACTTTTATGTTGTTTATACTTGAACCCACAAGAGCATAATATGATGCCTCCAGGTGCACTGTAAATGAGACCAGAGAGGCTCCAGCTTGCCCACTTGAACATAATAGGGCTATTTTTCTGATCTTCGGAAATTAAGATCTTCCCAAAGCTACTGGCAAAGTTGGAAGTTATCTTTAGGTCAGCTTTCTCTATAAGGCACATCTGATAAGGCAGATGAGAATATGAAATACTGCTGAATTCCTGGAATGGGTTTCCCAAAGAGCCCTTTTGGAATAAGGCAAATCTGAGCATTTCCCAGCTGTTTTTATGCCCTGCCAAGCATAGCACTGCAATAATGTCACCATATTAAATGATCACAGAGGAAAGAAAAATATGTGTAACTCACCTGCAAAGCATTGAACAGAGCAAAGAGGATGTGGAAAGCTCGATGACTGTTTTTGATGATGGTGGCAAGGCCAAACCCCCAGGTGAGGCCTAACAGTGGTGTCAAGATGGCCACACTTTTGCCAATCTGAAACAAAGAGTTCCTCTCCTGCCTATTTGACCTATCCCCAATAGTTGGCCTCAGTATTTTTATTATAACAACCGCGGTGATGGACAAATTCATGACCACAATGATCAAGGCAGGTATGACGAAGGCCAAGAGAGCTTTGCTGTCCATCCAGTTGAGCCAGCAGACGTCCTTTCTGGTGTAATTGTTCCTTGGCAGTGTGACAGCAATGGTGATGACTGCAATGACAAAGGGGCACACATAGCCCAGGCAGAATGCCACTGCTTTCTGAGCAGTCTTACTTGTGTTATGCAAGATGAACACTAGTCTGTAGAAAAGGATGAGGCCCAGGCTCAGCATCCAGAAAAAGACACACAGGTAGAATAAATGGATGAAGAACGTGGCCACGATGCAGATATCTCTGCTCAGCTGTTGGTTCTGGTCACTGAGGGAGGCAGTGACAATGAACCACACGTCAGCAATCAGGAGGGATGCAGCTATGTTGACTATACACACGTGGCGCATGTAGGAGGTTGTGTTGTTTGTCACGTATTTCCAGACCAAGGATTCAATTATAATGCAGATCACCAAGCTCAGGATCGAAATACCCAGGCCAACGTAGGAAATATAATCTTCAAAGATTAGCTGGGAGGATTTATCAGGTGACATCAGAATGGAGAATGATGTCAAGTGACTGCAGGAGCAAATGACATAATCTTCTAACTCTGTGGGTGTGCAACCACGAGTATCCCAGTCCCCGCCGCGTTTGTTGAGTGTGAAGTTCCAAAAGACACATTTGGGCATCTTTAGAGACAAGTTTTTCTTTGCAAATGTCATATTAACCTCAAATCTCTGGCTTCTGTTGCTGCTCACAGTTGTTGTTATCAATAAGCCGTTCACATATTCAGACTCATTCCGGGGCAAAATGTGTCCAAGTTTCGAGTACATCACACTGACAATGGTTGAATTTTGGGTTAGAGTTTGAATTTCAGTTTCACCAATGAGCACATTAACTGTGAGGTTTTCTGTACTATGGAAGCCCTTATTATAATCTGTGTTGCTGTTTTCTTGGATAACTATACCTTGTAGCTGCACGGTGTTTGCAGAGACAGAAGGGATGGTGTTATTAACTGGTTGGAGGCGCAGGGAAAAGTTTTCTACTGACTGCAGTAACAAAGAACTTTTCAGTGTCTTCTCTTTATTCAGGTCTTCCCAGGCTTCAGCTGTGGAATCACCAACAATTAAGTCCACTGTGGAGAGGAAATTCTGGAACAACAATAGAATAATGTAGTTATTGAAATGCTACACAAATCATTGTTGTTTCTGATGGTAATTTATGCATGGTTCAAGAATGCCTTTTGAAAAAGCCCAGCATTTTCTTATTTTGCTCAATCCATGTGAAACCTCCAGTTGTTAACCTTCTGCATGCTCTGTTTTCAAGTTAAGGTTTCCAAAAGCAGATCTGCGTGACTATTCCTTTTTACATATTACTTAGTATTTTCTTCTCAAACCTTCTTTCCCTTCTTTCTCAGCCTTTGTGCTATCTGATTTCTTGGTCTCTCTCATGTAGGGTCCTCCATCTACAAACCATCAAGTCTCTTTGCACTTTTCTGTTCAGAAGAACAGTGCTTTTCCTCTATACCTCACAATCAAGGTTCTCAACTATTTCTAAGATTTCTTTTGTTATTCATTTGTTGTAACATCTGATTTCTTTTCCTTGTTTGATCATGGTTTCTGGAATTTAATATATAATCTAAACCTACCCTCTGTCTTAGAATGCTGGAGACTTCTGTGGGTCCCTAGAACATTTCTAGTTTCTAAGCACACAGCAGCCTCTCTTTCATGCATAGGCTTCTTGTCCTCATAATTTTGACTTTTTATAAACTCCTCTGTATCTTTGCTGTCATTTCACCTCATCCCCTTCCTTTCCTGCTCCTGATCCTAATTAACTGTGAAACTTCTTCAGGAAGAATGTCATCCCCTGTGACAAAAGGGGCCAAATGGCTTGGTAGGTGTAGGTAAGACTTAAAATAAAACCTCACCTGAATAGTGAGCTCATCTGCATCTGCTGGGATAGAGGAGAGCATATCCAGGATGGAAACGATTGCACCTAAGTTTGCAGGAGAACTGTTTATCGTGTTTAGCTCCTTTCCAATCTGTTCCTTAAGCTCTGCAAGGTAGTTAGGTAGTTTTGCTTTTGACTCAGGGCTGTTGACCAAGGACTGGAACAGAAGATAACAGTATATCACACATGTGAAATTTGCCTCTCTAGCCTCACTGAGAGAAAGGTAACTCTGGATGAAATAAAGAGCACTATGGTAGGATACCAAGGCTGAAAACAGAAGCCTGGCACCTGTCCATAAAGTGAACTGACCAGGGGAGTGGGCATTGTAAACAGGGCCTGGGGGTGAGGTTGGGCAGTAGCCTGGAGTTGTCGGTGTGCTCTGCAGCTTGATCTGGGCTTGTGCCAACCAGTGTTCATCAAGGCAGTCCCTGAGCATGGCTCAGGGAACACTCCAGGCCAGCAACTGCTCCTTATGGATGCTATGAACAAGGTCACCTTGCCTGGGAGACAGAGCATTCATGTGTGTGGATATCAGCCACGCAGTGCCACATGGCCTCTGGGCCAGAGGAGGGGACCTTGCCTCTTCCACTGACTGTAGATATAGCCAAACATTCTCCAGCTTTTAAAAGAAAGTTATTAATGTTTCATATATTTTAGATTATGATAAGCAAAAATCAAGCAACAAAAATTTTTGCTCTTTCTTCTCCCCCTCCATGCCTCTCCACCCCAACCTCTAGAAAACCCACAAATGTTACCTCGGCTCTACTCAGCAGGTTGTTTATTGATACAGACAGGCAGTCATTCCTCGCGACCTTCCATGAGTTGTTGATGCACTTGTAAGTTGTACTGCCTCGGGTAAAACCATCTGGATTATCTAACTCACGGCATGGCTTTATCAATGTGCCCCTTTCTAGTCCAGTGCCTAATCTGTCTGAGCAGGAAACTTGCTTATCTGTACAGAGGAAAGTCATAGAGGTAGAAAACAAGAAGCAGAGAGATTAATAAATTAACCCCATCAAACCTGTGACTTCCTGAAGTTCAGAGGTCTTTAAATCATGATTTCAGCTTCCTCTCTTCATTAATTACAACCTTTCAGGATGTATGTCTTGCATTCCCAATTTTTTTATGAATAATGAAATTAAAAAGATAACTAATAAAGCTCCTGTTTCTGAGTACTGAATCAAATCAACAAACCAATATCCAAAGTTTTAGGATTTATCTGTTAGATCACAGGGTTGGACAGAGGTGGAGTGATATTATATTGACCACTAAGTGAACAATAATTCATACAAAGTTTGTTCTGCTAAGGGACTCAGTGCTGCTGTAGCACTAATAGGAAATTCATTAAGACCTCAATAGTGAGGCCTCAACACCTTTTTGATGAACAGTGAGTCCTGCTAATTGGCTTTGATTGGGTTAGTCATATCAGCATATGCTGATTAAAGTAATTAAAGTGTCTGCATATTTATTGTCCCAGGGGAGTGAAATCTGGCAGATACACTGATTCAACTGTAGGCATCACTACTGTGGAAAAACCAAAATTTCTGCCTTATGGGAAGGGCCAACATTACTTTCTTTCCAATTTAGAATAAAAAGCTGAAATATCCAAACTCTTGTCAGAACTAAACATCAGAGATGGATTTAGTGATGCTGAATTCTAACCATCGAACATTCCCTGTAGAGCTGACTGGAAGCTGGGTCTGCCCTGGTCCCTGCAGCATCTCGTGGAGGTTGCCCTTCTTGTGTTCCAAGTGGATATGCTCTCCCACAGGCTGACCTCCTGAGCCAGATGACTTCTTCCTGAGACTCCAAAACCTTTGATCTTTGATAAATTGTTGGTGCAAGCTGGGAGATGCCCGACCGCATTTCAACAGAGGGGATGATACTGGGTGGTGCAGCCTGCACCAGAAGGAAGTAGGGACAGTAGATGACTAAACTATTGCTGCTTTGAACATACTGGGATCACTGTCAAATGCAGCGAAGACAAAACACCTTGTCTATTTATTTTTTTAAATTACATTAAAACTGATGTTTTCCTCCGTATGTAAAAATTTCCCATTAAAAAAAAAAAAAGATACAAAAGTTCTTAGCTAACAAAAATTGTTCCTGTTAGATGTCAGTGGTGATGAATTTGTGGCATCTGATTTAACAAAGACAAATGGGACCACCAATTTAACAGCTATAAATAGTTACTTTTTCCTTACCAGGAATCAGGTGCAGTCTGATATGTTCACTGTCAACCCCCTGTCGATTTTCAAACTTGCTGTTTTTAAACTTGCAATATGCCGTGAGCTCTTTCTCTTTGCTACAGTCACTTCCTGTGTAACTGTACGTGTAGCAAAACAAATTTCCTTTTTTCTCTTTCCCTGTATGGATGGATGAAGACAGGTTAACACAGATTTGGGGTCAATCAGCTGAAAACAGCAGAAAGCTTCAGCAAAACTTTATTTTCTGTGGGTCTTACAAAAAAAATTCCTTTGTGAAAAAGCTCCCTCTCTGTACACTAATTTCTGTCTCTAACTCCCCACTGAATAAATGGAAGCTGCTGCGTGATCAATGTACTTTCTCTTACTGGTGCATGAGCAAACCCTTCCTAAACCCTTTTAACTGTTCAGGAACCAAAATTTGCTTTGGAAATCATTTTGGAGAATACTCTTCCTGCCTCTACCACAGGTGTTTCATTTAGGCTAGGATACTTTTTTGCTGTTCTTATGGTTCTTTTGAACTGAGGATCTGTACCACGCTCCCATTGCTTTTCAGTACCTCTGCCTGAGGGTACCTGCCTGCAGTCTCTTCCAAGAAGATCTTGGGTTTTTTCTTAGCTACCAAAGGACTCCTCAGTCTCTACCTGCTTTACTCTTCAGCCTGTTGTTTTTGCACTCCTGCATGTTGTTTTCTGCTTTTTTAAAATTAACTGTTTTGTAACTCACTTGAAAACTTCTAGTATATAAAACCCAACTCACTCGAAAACTTATGGTATATAAAAATATATCAGTGAAGCTGCAGAATGGCCCTAAATTTTAATATGTAGAAACTTGGCCTTTTGTGCTGTTAAAGACATGTTACCTTTATCCTCAAAGAAAACAGAACAGTTCTTTGAATTGCATTCAATAGATTAGTCTACATTTGTTGTGAATTAGTAGATTTTCTAAAGTAACGTTCTCAATACTTCGTTCAAAAAAAGTGGCAAAGATAAAAGCAAATAAATGGAGCTCAGCAATTTCTAATTTGAACAAGGGTAAGAATGCCCACTTCTCCCTGCTCAGCAAGTCAAACCAAACATTGAGTTTACCCAGTATGTATTTATCACTACAGCAGTGGCTTCAGTTGCTCTTCTATTAATCCCAGCCACGTTCCTCAGCCATGCTAACCATCCTAAAAAAATTCCATTTCCCTTTTTTTTAAACTCTTAGGAGTACTTGTGGGTTATCATAAGAGCAGTAAGTATGAATTGTTTGCACAGACTTACCTGAAAACAAAAACCCCAGAGACTGGGTTATGACATATAGTGAAACTAATGATATTGCAAGTTTATTGTATCTTACCAGCTGGAAATCCCTTTTGTCCAATCACAAATGTAACAGAGAAATCTTCCGTGGTGTTCGCACTTATGCAGCACTCGAGGGCTTGTGGCTTTCCACAAGGTATCGATGCTGCAATGGGGTCTATCAGGATGTTCTGCTTTAGGGGCAAGGAAATAACCTCGACTGTCATATTGGCAGAGCTCTCCAAGTTTTGCTGGGAGATTGTGCAGATGTGGGTGCCTAAAAGAAGTGATAGAAAAAAACCATGTTTCAGTTGACAGAAGTGCTCCTCAGGTTCTGCATGGTGATGAGCCCTAATGCTGAACAAGTCCAGCGCTGTTGGCAGCATCGCGCCTTGCTCTCCCCCAGCACTTATAATTTTAACTGTGGGGCTTTTATTTACTGTGGCCTTCACCATTTTGCTGGGCTAGGGATGCTGCAAATGATCTGGCACAGAGATTTCATTGCCTTCGTAGCCAGTAACAGCATATTCACTCACCGCTCCAGTCCTGTGTGGCAGACTTCACTGTGAGCATGGATGTGGCTGGGAATTTGCTATTTTTGATGCACATATCACAGGCTACTGTTTTTGTGTCACTTCCAGACTGGATTTTCCAACTGATACTGTCGTAACTGCTCGCATCACTTTTGCACGTCAGATTGAACGGATATCCCTCGGGAATTGGTGAGTTTGTACTTGAAGATACTGTTACGTGGGCTGACACAACAACACAGGACAAAAGTCACATTATTGAGAGTCACTTTTAAGCATTTTCTTGCAAATGCCATGTGCCACAGAGGCCACCCACACGTTAAAGAGCTGCTGGTCTGTCACAGCCACCCGACTCTCACCTTTCCAGAGGTATGTCACTCTGATGGTCTGACTGGCCCTGGCTCCGTGTTTAGTCTGCAGCTCACACGTATATGTTGTCACTGTACCTGACTTCTCAGGTGGGCATAGTGACTCCTCGATTTTGAGCTCATATTCAGTGCAGTTTCCACCCCAACTGGAGACTCCTAGAGAGAAATAAACATCCCTTGAAGGGTTATAGATGTCCAGAAACACCTCTGGAAATTAGAAGCAAGCATTCTAGGCAAAGAAACCCTTATGGGCTTGTATGTAATTGACAGCATGGCACTTTTAACTCCTCAATGCTGAAGTTCATTCACATCTTTTATTCTGGCAACATTTTCCAAGTGCCTAAAGATGAATCTCAGCACAGAGCTGGGCACCTACTGCCAAAACCAGTCAGAGAGCAACAGGATTGCTTGGAAATCCCAGGGTAACACAAAACAAAGGGCATAACCTCATTATCTGTGATATTTAGGATGAGTAAAGGTAAGTAAACCAGGAGTAAATACTGCAGATGTTAACTTCATCTAATTTTGAAATAAAAATTTTTAGGTACTTGACAGTCATTTGACTTTAAATCTGAAGAGTGATGGTCTAGCTGGAAGCACTAAAGCTATCCTGTGCTGCAGCTGGCAGTGCATCTGGCACGAAAGCACAGCAGAGTTCCTGAGGGAAAGCCTGGACCAGGGAATTAAGGGCAAAACAGCTCATTGCAGAAGGCCAGGATTCCCCCACCCTCTGCAAGCACTGCTGTACCACAGTACCTGTTCTCTGTGGAAATGACTGTGTGCATGAGCTTTGAAGGTTTTATCTGATTTTGCTGTCCTGCTTTCTGCTAAATTTCATTTATAGCAAAAAGTTAACAATAACAAGTTAATTTATACACATAAAATATTAAGAGGGCAATGGACCATTTAGGATGATGGTTCAGTAGACATTTATGAGCATTTTCTGTTAATGTCATTTTGTAACTCTTTGTAGCACATTTACCTGGTCCTTTATTAACTCTCTATGTTAGAAGCAAAGCCTTATGGAATGCCACTGACACAACTGGTATGTGCTGAATCACAGCTACAGGTGGAGAGGGAAACTGTGCTCTCAGTATTTAGCTGTGCTGCAGCTGTTTCAAAGCACCTGCCTCTCTTGGTTTGCTAAATCGTGGTATGTGGTACACAGAAGCTCTTTGCGCCCCACAGGTGATTCTGGAGGTAGTAGTAAAGACTGATGCATCCATCCTTTCTCCCAAAATTAGACAATGCAGAAATAAGCTTTTTAGAAGCAGTTGGTGTGATGTTGGTCCAGGTAGCTGTGTCCATCCAGGATGTCACAGTTTAGGGCATCAATGTCTGCACAGTGCGTGGAGATGCCCAGAGCCCCACTGGCACCTGCACAGCACATATGGAGTCTGTACTTCCCCCTGCCAGATGTTTGGAGCATACCCTGTATTTATCCTAGGACTCTGTGGGAGCCAGTTAGGAGGAGATCTTTAAACCACAAACAAACCCAGCAGGTGAAAGACAGCTTTTGTTAATCTTACCTGTAATATTGATTGTTCCATTTACTTTCCAGGAAGCATCAAGTGATGGTAAGTGTCTGTCAATGCAACAGGACAGCGGAGGGCTGTTCTTCTGCGTTTCAGGACTGTTACATATAACTTCCATCTCCTTTACATTTGGAGTAATACGTAGTGGAGAGACATATATTGTTTCTGTGGCCTTCAATCTGTAAGACTGACTGGCATTTGTGAAAGTGCATTTATAGGAACCTGTAAAGCATAGACAGTTTCTTAGCATTGAGAACAGTTTTTTGGTTTTGCATATATTTGGAATTAGGATCTACTTCCACATCTAGTTTTCACGTCTCCCTGCTCTGCAGTGGCTTTGCTACTTGCTGATCAACATGTACCTTCACGTCACCTGCAGGATGTTTTCTGCAGACTTCTGGTGCCAAATACATCCAGATTAAGAGGGGTAATGTTGAGGGGTAATTGAAAAGAGACCAGTGTTCTGGGACTGAAATAGTTAAAATCTTGTGGACTTGGTGCTTTTGGGACCTGTATGTTGCCCATAGTCCTTCTGGCATCAATATGTCATGGTAAGAATGTAGACTGTGCAAAAGTTTCCTACACAGAAATGGGCAAAGAGTAAGTGCCCAGGGGGGACTCCACTAGAACTGGCCTTGGAAAGTAGGCTCTTAGGCTGCTCAGAAGGTACTGCCAAAGACAGCAGAGTATTTATCACAGAACGCCCTGAGCAGAAGAGACCCATCAGGATCACTGAGTCCAGCTCCTGGCCCTGAGCAGGACCATCCCCAGGAATCACACCATGTGCCTGAGAGTGTTGTCCAAACACTTCTTGAACTCTGTCAAGTTTGGTGTTGTGAGCACTTCCCTGGGGAGCCTGTTCCAGTGCTCAACCACCCTCTGGGTGAAGAACCTTTTCCTGATATCCAACCTAAACCCCCTGATTCAGCTTCATCACTTTTCCTCCAGTGCTGCCACTGGTCATGAGAGTGAAGAGATCAATGCCTGTTCCTCTGCTTCCTGTCACCAGGAAGTTGTAACTGCAATGAGCTCTCCCCTCAGTCTCCTCTTCTCCAGCTGAACAGACCAAGTGCCCTCAGCTGCTCCTCACATGGCTTCTCCTCAAGGCCCTTCACCATCTTTGTTGCCCTCCTTTGGACCCTCTCTAATGGCCTAATATCTTCCTTATGTTGTGGTGCCCAAAACTGCCACAATAACTAGAGGTTACATCTGCTGTTTTAATGATATAAAATCATACCAAAATCCTCCATCGTAACATTGGTGATTTTAAGAATCGACCTTCTGGTTCCTACAATTGTCTCTATGGAATGCCGGAAGCTGGTTGAGATGATCTGATCAGAGCGATACCAGGTTGCACTGTGGAACGTTGAATTTATCTCACAAGTCAGTGTTACTGTATCCCCTTCAAAAATGTTCAAGGGTTCCGCTTTGAAGTTTACCCGATCTGGGGAAACAGAGAGAAACATTCTGCATTACTGTAATTTCATCTCACGACTATGTGGTGTCTTTCATCTTATGGGGTTCCCAGGTGCTTCACAACTAGGTGAAGGGTACTACCCAGGTGCAGGGTACTACCTCTGATACAAGCCACGAGATTTTCCCTCTATATATTCTTTTACTGTCTTTTTCAGCCAAAGATCCCAGCAGGTTTTATGCAGAGAGCTAGAAATATTACCACTGCTGCTTTCTAAGTAGATAAACTGGGAGGAGAAGCAACCAGGTTGAAGTAATCCTCTGAGACAGACATTCCAGCACTCTGAGACTACAGCACCTCTGGAACACTTGATAAGGCAACTGAATTGTAACACACTGTCCAGCAGCAGCATGGAAAATGTGCCAAGGAAGCCAAGGGCAATGTGTTCTCAGCAAACTGCGAGAGGTTTTCATTTTGCTCTAAGGAAGTGCTGGCAGCCTGACATGCTAAGAGCTGTCTCAGTTCTGCAGGTGAACTTAGGGGTGTTCAAACTCTCTCCCTTTCAGAGACACGTCATTGGGAATCATCGAATAGTTCAGGCTGGAAAAGACCTCTGTGATCAAGTCCAGTGTAATACCTGGAAGGCTTTGGTTTTTCATGGAAGGTACTGCATGCATGGTCCTCTCATGAAAGTCCTAAGTTTTGATGACAAAGGATAAAGAGAAAGAGCCAGAGAAATAAATAGTTTTGAAGGCCGTGTACCAAATAATCAACAGTATAAGGAAGCTACATGATTAAGGCTAAAAATACTGAAGTAGAAGTTGAAGGAAAGTACCGAGAGAGCTTTAACTTACAAGGCAGTTCTGTTGTGAAGGTAGATGGTTTGGGCTGGTAGAATGGTTCTAGAACTTGTAATACAGCTTTGTTGGATTTATCAATCTGACTGGCGCTTGCTGGTCCTGCTTTTACTTCATATTTCACAAAAACACTTCCAGGACTAAACAGATACAAGAATGAGAAAAGCATCAGAATTAAATATCCTTGTCTATTAGTGGTTTTCTAATTGTGGTGACCCATCTTGTATGGCTGAGAAGGCTTCACTGGGCTCACCTGGTAAGGCTCCTGTTGGGACTCAAGACTTGCTCTGATATACAAGAAGGTTGTGCTACAGCTTTTTCCTAAGAACAAACACCTTTATGTGACATATTCCTCGTCTGGTGTTTATTTCCAGTAAACTTCCCTTAGAAAACCTAAAATACAGCTGCATTTAAATATCTGTGGACACAAGTAATATCCTTTTTATCCAGTGTTGCATCCAGAGTCAATGTACTAGTTCATCTTCCTCATGATCTAGGAAATGATGTGAGGATTACTTGCATCCTTTTCCTCTTTTGGGTGGAACTCAGTTCTTCCCATAAAAGGCTTTGAATCAGATGGAGAATGATTATGTTTCTTGGACTTCTCCAGAGTGACAAATTTTACCCTATTTCTATGCTCATAGCTGGGCTTTCCTTTGCAGTACTTATACTGTTATTCAGTCTGTGTATAGTGGGAGTGGGTTCCAGCCAGAGTGAATGTAGCCTTTGCTAACTCGTGTCTCCTTGAGACAGAAAGTTTTCTGGACAGAAAGTTTATGTCTTCAGGAAAAAATGAAACCATTTACTTACCTAAAACCAGTTACTGTTGCTGATACAAAGCCTGGTAAACACCTGTAGCTTGCATTAAACTGTAAACAAAGACATATGACATGAGGTAAGTGCTCTATGTATTACTCCAGTGTGCTTAAAATAGGAAACCCTCCATTCAAGACTGATGTGAGTATGGGCATGTAGCACATCTCATAGAATGGGCCTGGTGCTCTCACCACTGTCACGGGGTAAATGTCTGTTGATGGATTCATTCAATGTGTGTTCCCATGGATTTAAGCTCAGACAAATATTGTGGGGTTCATGCTTTAGATAGAAAAGATCCCTGAATACTTCCTGGTTGGCCAGTGCATTAAAACCAATAGGAATACTGGTATTCCTTTCGAGTGGAGTCAGCTTTGGCCCACCTTGTATCTCCCACTGCTGCATACTTCCCAGCTCCCCACACAGACAGTGACAGGCCACCCTATATCCCCAACACTTAGGGTAAACACCATATTTCTTAGAGGGCTCTCTACCTTCAGAGATGAAAAACTAAAGTCCTTACCGCTTTTTCAAGGTCAGCTTTGTATTTTTGGTATAATATAGAGGAAGAATCCCTGAGATCATCCAGAAAGTCTATGTCGAGTCTGACTGACATATACATTACAATGGGCTCTCCCATACCACATGAGTCTGTAAGGAAAGACAGTAAAATAAAGGTAAAATAATAAAAGCAATGCTTACAAAGTGATTTCTTTGCTTTTTCTTCTAACTTAATAATCTTAGGATCATATAATGATTTGGATTGGAAAGGACCTTTCAAGATCATCGAGTCCAACCCACCAGCCTGGCCTTGAACACTTTAAGGGATGGGGCATCCACAACTTTTCAGGGCAACCTGCTCCAGTGTCTCATCACTCTGATCTTAAAAATTTTCTTCCTGAATTTAATCTAAATCTACCCTCTTTCAGTTTAAAATAATGACAACTTGCCAAGATTCATCTGTATAATAAGAAAATTTTGATTCTTCTAATTTTCTATATCTAATTTAGGTGCTTGCCATCTGCTAGATACCTAGACTCCCTTTCCAGTTGATGCAAAGCTGTAGACATCTTTAGAAGATGAAATATCCAGAAGATGATAGCTTTCCTGCAGTGGTTGAATTCCTACACTGCTCTAGATATGAGGATGTTATATGGATGAACAACTTTGATCAGAGACTTAACTTTCACATAATGTAAGGTACACAGGATGAATCTCCACCTATGTTTCCCTGCAATGAATGGAAAAATCCCCAGTGCTTTGGGAGGGTAATATTCTAGGTGGAGACTCATCAGTGAGCACAAAATTATATAAAATGCTTAGAGAGATACTGTAATTTTCTCGCTGGGTTCATTTAAGAACATGTCCATACCACGTGTGAAGTAGCTCTGGACCCAGGGGCCTGGACTTCTAAGGGGTGTGTGCAACCTCTACATGAAACAGGTATTACCTCTAGTCCTGGAAATAGTATGGCAATATGGATATGGGACTGCCTGGTGATAAAAGCATTCCCTCTAAGCAGAGTTGATTAGAATGGGCATGCTGACAGTACTGGAATGCTTCCAGATCTAGTGTTGCCTCTGGGTATCTCTGCATGCTGCTCCATCACAAATAAGAAGCAGAGCCTCATGGGTGTTTGTCTTGGATAGCTGAGACAACAGTTAGTGTTCCACCCCAGTGTTGTCAGGCCTAAGTGTCCATCCTTTTGTCACCAGTCATCAGTCAGGTTCCTAAAAACTCCTAGGCACTTTGTCACAGGAGTCATGAAATAAAACCAAAGACATGTGCTGAGCTTTTTAGTTCCTTCTCTTCTCTTGAGCACTATGGCACACTTTTGGTCACATTTGTGAAAATCTGATGAGATGAAACTTTCTTTGCTTAGCAAAAGCAGAGAGTCACAAAGAGGCATGTGAGTGACTCCAGGAGCTGGGGCTCCAAATAGCACTAAATATCTGCAAGTAACTTGGGCCAAGGTGGGCCCCTACCACAAGAAGGGTTCTAGACCATCTCTACAGAATTTCCACGTTCACAGACAATGTGGTAATCAGCTGAGTCCTGACATGCTGTTTTTTCCCACCTTTTGGCACTATTCTGACTTCTAACCAGTATATGAGTTGTACAGTGATGGAGTTCAGCTCTGTGTCCCCCTACCTTCAGTCTGGGGCTCGCAGTAAGGTCCGTAGAAAGGCATTTTCTGCATGTAGCCACAGGGCAGGGCAGGTTCCAGGCTGAGAGAAGGGCAGGGTATTATGTCACTGCACACCCTGCTCGGCCAGGCATATCCCTTTTCACAGGAACAACAGCTGCTCTTCTCACCACTGGGGAGACAGACTGTCAGACAGACAGAGAAATACCATGAGAATGGTGATAAGTATTTACTTTCCTGTATCTTCATGATGGTGGTCCCAATTAAATGTTGCCCTTCCTGGGAGTTCACTTGAATGATGCAAACAGGATGACCAGAAGACTTGCAAATCTTACTCCACCAGTTGTAAATCACTAAACAGAAATGGGAACCACACTGGTACAGTGATAAGCCTGATCAATTACTTATAAGTAACTGAATGGAAATGTGAAGCCTGATCCTAAAAATTTGCCTGGCATTCTGGCCAGGGTCCTGTGATACTTTTCAGATTGGATATTTCTATGTTACTTGGGGGAAAAGCAAATATATCAGCTTTTAAAGACTGTAAGAGCAGGGTCATTCAGAGTCCAGGCTGCTGTGTTGTTCTATGTCCTGACAGATGCCGTGTGGCAGAAGGTAACATTATCACAAAGTGCTTTAAAGCACTAAAAAAAAAGAAACCAACCAACAAAAAAGCCCCAACTTGACTGCAACTTCTTCTGCTCCTAATATGTCATTTGCAAAGTAGGATATCAACAAAATTATTTTTACACATCGCATGTGACCCAGAAGGCCTTTAAAAGATCCATTTGCATGCTGTTTTGGGAACTGCTAAACACTTCCTTTCACTGCTTTATGGGCCAGCGATAAGGAGGTACCAAATCTCCTCTACTGTTGTAAATGCTTGGTGCCTTTTCACTAGTTACTCAGATATGATGTTGCACAACCCCAGTTTATGTAATAAGACCTGCCTGATATCATGCCCTGTAAGAATAAGTTAAGTGAGTTATACAGGAAAAGACTGCCTCTCATGCAGCCTGTCTCTGTCAGGGTCAGGGTACAGCCTCTTACGGCGATTTACGTCCCAAATACAGGAGGAGGGAAGTAAACAGTCTGATAACCGCTGTCCCAGCTTCCTGAAACTTGAAAGTAACTCAGACTGCTTGTTAGCCAAACTGGACCAAGATCCTTTGGCTCAGGCTTCCTCTGGCTTTGTCTCTTCCTTAGGAAAAGAAAAGCATTCAGAGCTACTCCTAATGCCAACATCATCTAAAGAGCAGTGGTAAGACACAGATAACAAAACATGCTGTTGTGTGCTAGAGCTTCAGTCTCGCTGGGTCTTTCAGCAGGCAGCAGAGATGGTTCAGTTTTGCTGATTTTTCTAAATATGCTGGGTGGTAGAACTGGGAGGCATCAAATACTGACAAAATAACACATCATCCAGAATATTAAAATCAATAACCAACCAACCCACCTGTTGTAATGTGGATGCTTGAAACTGTCGTTTGTATATTTGAAATGTTTGTTGGCACTGTAAGATTTTTAAAATACTCTTTAATTGGTTGCAGGTAAGATGAATCTGTAAGGCTTACTTCAATGTCAACTGTGTACTCTGGAAGGGGAACATCAAAAATATACTCTGAAAGAGAAACAGAATGACACTGCAAAGCTGTATTTAAAGGTAAATCACAAATTGATTTGGCATTTGGGCTCTGTCGCTATTTGATGGTAACTTTGGTGGCATTCTGCTTAGGGAATCTTCTTGCTTCCCCCTCAGCAGACACTCTGCCTCTGTTTTATCTGCTGCTTGTCTGAGAAAAGCCAGATTTCTTTGGTCTCAGAGCAATAGGAAAAGGATATAAGTGGCATAATATATACAGAGAAAAACTGTCTCATCCCTTCTCTCCTTCGAGTCAATGAGTGGATGGGCTGTCAGCCACAGACTGAGGCGATATAGGATTATCCTGTGGCCCCTGTCCTGCTAAGAAGCTTGGGGAGGGTTTTTTCTACACTGGTGTTTCAACTACTGTAGAAGCTGTGCTGGTATCTGTCATCATAGGGATGCCATCCAGAGGGACCTGGAGAGTTCTGCTTTCCTGAGGATGACTGAACACAGGTCCGAAAATGGGAAGTAGCAAATGAATCCTTCTTTTGCTTTACTGAGCAAACTGTCATTATCTCAACCCATGGCTTTTCTCACTTTATCCTTCTGATTCTGCTCCCCATCCCACCGAGGGAGAGTGAGGGAGTGGCACTGTGGTGCTTCAATGGGGTTAAAGCACAATAACACCTTTCCCTTGATGTTCCCAGTTCAGTACATCAAAAGATGCTGTCCCTAACAGTGATTTCACCCTTGGTTTACTAGAAACCTGCTCTGTTATCATACATTTGTGTACATACCATTTCGCTTCTGCCTTTGCATATCTGGGTAGAAGCTTTCCTCTCCTAGAGTGCTGTCAATCTGTGGGAAAAAAAGAAAGTGAAGCTCTGTGAGAAGAACAAAGTAAAGCTTTAGCTGCCATTGTTGGCAAAAGAAATTAGTGAAGAAAATACTGACATAGGTAATTTTTTCCCACCAACCCTGGTCCCAACCCTCCAACCTCCCACCCCATCTCCCTCTTTAAACAAAATATTTCTATTTTCCTAGCAGAGGAGGGTTAAACACCAGCTGAGGGATGTACTGAGACTGCAGATGCCTCTTTGCATATCTCTGCAAGGCAACTGCCCCAGCTTAAAAGGATTTCTGTGTCTGAGCTGCAATCCCTGCTATGGAGTGGATATGTGCCCCTAATCCTGGGCCAGCCTTGTGGGGATGGTCCCAGTGCTTGGGAAACCCAGCCACTTGGCCTTTGCATCCAGAAACCAGACTCTCATCACCCTTTTCTTTCCTCTTTGCTCTAAGCTTCCACCTCTGCAGCAGCAAAGCCACCCTGAGTAGGAAAAGAAAGGGGATTGAAAAGTCTTGGCTCCAGCTCAGTTGCCAGGTCAGCTACTTTGGGGCCATCAGTAACACACAGTTGACCAGAGCAGTGGTGGCACAGTTTCAATATGACTGGTTTATGCAGGCTGCAGCCAAGTGAGATGCAGACCATCTTATCTTTTTTTTTATCGTACCCTAAAAATACACTGGCACCACCGTTAGCAAGAAAGGCTAAAGAACAAGCACAGACACAGGCAGGAAATTTGCAGCTTTGCCAGTTTCTTGATTCCTACTGAAACCTTTATTTACAGAAAGGGTGAATAGCTTGGCAACTCTTAAGTCATCTCTTTACATAAAGGAACCATCTGGTGTGTGATTAGAGCTGGGCTTTGCGTCGCAGCTGTGCCGGAGTGAAGATCCCAAGGCGCGCTGGCAGCTCTTGCACTGCTGGGGTACGACCTTCGTGTTAGAGGTTGGCTGCAAGAATGACAGAAATCCCACTGCAATCCACGGCTTGCTCCAGGTTTGGAACTCAGTGGTTTCCTTTTTCAATTATTCTCCCAAACAACTGAAAGGTATTGCTATGTTCCTAAATACTTCACATATTTCACACCATTAAATAATGACTCATTTGCAGGATGTACCATGGATCAATGGTGCTAAAAAATAAAAAAAAAGGTGTTGCTTTTTTTCATGAAAACTCTTAAGTGCTGAGATGGAGACAGCTTGAAAAAAACAGACCAAGCAAGATACTTGGTCACTATTAAACACTTGCTGAAGTGCAGGTGAGGCTGCTGGAACCAGACACATCCTGGTTTGCCAAGACAGGGAATAGTGGTAGAAACAGCTTAAGGAGTTTCCGTCTTCCTCTTCATGTTTCCATTTTCCAACCTGCTCAATAAAGGAGGTTATTCCATTCTCTCACAATGGAGAAGACAAAAGAAGTATTTTCTGGTCTAACAATAATAGTGATGACCAAGAGTTGGTACATATGTGGGCTAGACTTATTCACTAGACTATATTAACTATATTAACTTTCATTAACTTGGCTTCTCTGTTCCTCTTTTTGTTAGGGACTATTTGTGCAGAAACTGTCTGCTAACAAACCCATATACAGGATGAAGCACAAAACGGCTTTCCATAATTCACACTACAGATCAAGCAAAAGAGGTATGTGAGGATTATCAAGAAAGTGGGAAACTGAAGTGAAATCTGAGTCCAAGAGCAACATCTAAACACAAATCACTCAGGAGTGCCATTTTAGTCTTGTGGACTTGTCCTATTGTCAAGGCAGCAGTGAGACTCCTGTCACCCACCTGTAACACCTTCATGCCTGAGCTAGTTTTGTTGACATGTCACTTCTAGGCAAGATATATTTGGATCTTCTCTCATAGGATGGGTGAATTCCATCCAGGAGCAATGCCCACGTAACTGTTACCTAGGCTTAGCTCCAGGGACAGCAACTGAAATCCCCTGCAGACTAAAACAGGTGAGAAACCAGAAGTGTTTTCTTCAGTGCCTTCTGGAGAGGCTTTAAGACTGGGGAGCAAGAGCCCAGTTCCTGGATTTCTCCCTCTCTTTTACACACTCTGGGTTCAGTTTCTCTCCCTGGTCTTATCCTGACTTCCTCCAAGGTTTTGTGGATGTGAAGGAGAGCATCAGGGTGCTACAAACAGAGACCAAATGAAAACTAATGGGACTGGGAAAGAATACTCACTACATATGGGAATGGTTTGAAGTTTGAGTCCTGTGATGTCTGGCAGCAGGCTGAGACCAGCAGAACCAGGCAGTGGAGACCTGCAGTGATTGGGGACGGCATTTTTTCCAGTGACTTTGCTGTGTGACCTGAAAAGACAATGAAACAAAAGGGAATTTTCAGCTGACTCACACAGTAGGAAATACCAGCATGCCCTACAGAAACAATGTTTCAGATTCCTTCAGCACACTCTGCCTGTTCACTCCATCCAAGACAAGGCATGGAACAAGGCCTGTAATTATTCCTCTGCCACTGCCATCAGACTGTTTCCCTTATATCTCCTCTTTTTCCATGTTGGATCTACCTACTCAAAATAGGAGAAAGAAATCGCTTGGAGAAAGCAGAGTCCTGAGCAGGTTCTTAACAAGGACAAATGAGGTGCTGGAAATCCATCTGCCATGAGGAAAGTTGACTTTGGACCTTCAAGTGTTCCTCACAGTGGTACTTGGGAAATGCACAGCGAGGACATGAGGGAAAAACTAGAAATGTTGCTGTTAAGTGAGGGCCTGTCCTGTTGCAGCAGGGAGAGCTCTGCTCCCAGCTGTATCCCACTCAGGAGAGGTCTGTAGCATCACCTTGGGCTCAGCTAGAGATTTCTGCATGTTTGTTATGCCTTGGATAACAATGGAAACAATGAAGAGTGGTATCTCCTGGGGAAAAAATCCCTGTTATGTTAAATTTTTAGTGTACATCTCCATAAATTGCACTGGAGTTAACAAATAAGTAACCTAGAACCCAAGAATACTGACAGACCAGAATATAATGTGGTGCCTGAAATCAAAACCCAGCTCTTCCAGCTCATTAATACCTAAGCTAATTTATTCACACAGTAGACTGGATGATGAAACAAAGGGAAAGGTAAAACAAGCACAGACTTTCATAATAGATGCTGATACATTTATACAACGAAAGGGAACAGAAAAAGGGAGGTGAAGAATACATAAAAAACCACATATTTTGCTATGAATATGCACTTTTTGTCTATTCCTAACAAAACACTTCCCTATCTCAAGAATTAATGGCTAGTAGAGAGCTACAGAAAAAGGCAGAACCCAAGCAGATTGTGAAAACCATTTTAAGAGGGGAAAGCACTGAGAAAAGAACAGTACGGAACAGTACCTGAGCAGATAACAGCAGCTGATTAAAGTCATGAGCTTTTGTAAAATTATGATCTTTTTGCATTGAAAAGGCTGCTCATTCAAACTCAGGTTTTGCAAGGCTGTGAATCACAAGGTGAAAGCAGAAAAATCAGCACCTCCTGAGATGATAATGAACATTGGCAGTGGCTGCCTACTGCTACTATTGAATATCAGAGCTGGTGCTCCCAAGCAAGCAGGGCACTTTGTTGTGACTTTCTAGCTCAGAAGAGACCATGACAGAAAACTGTAATATCAAAATGATCTCTGGTCTCACCTTGGGAATTGAAAGGACAGCAATGAGTTACAGTACTTGATGTCACCAGCGTGGGTATGCAGCAGGGATTTATCACCAAATGTGGTTCTTAGGGAGATCCATCTGGAGTGAGACTTCACCTGGATACTGACCTGGTTGAAACATAGGAGACAAAAGTAGGAATAAATTATTTTCTATTCCAATATAGAGATGTCATCAGCAGAGCTCTGCAGGAATGTGGTGTAAGCCTGTATCTTACCCTCTGTTCTCAAGTGATGTGGAAAAGGCAGTGGGCAGTGATACAAACACTGTGGAAAACTTTACATGATTGAGACATTCTGCCTGTGAAGATCTGCACTGGGGCCACAGGATGCTGAGTGACTCAGTCATGAAGTTCATGAAATTTAGCACTGGTAAGTGTAAGGCAGAAAGAAATGATTGTGACATTATGTGTTCTGTGATGGACTCTGAACTGACTGTTGCCACTCAGGAATGGGGTCTGAAGAAATGTCAACTGAATTCTGAGATGTAATTGAAAAAGGAAAACTAATTTTAAGATATTTTAGGATAGCAACAGAGGGAAAGACCAAAACCAAAAAAACCCAACCCAAACAAAAGCAAAACAAACCAAACAAATTTAAACAAAAAAAAAAAACAAAACCAAACAAAAACCCCCATTGTTATGTAGACATTTGAGCTAACACAGTACAGCTGCTCTTATACTCCTACACAGGTATAACCTGAAAGCAGGACATCACAGTGATTCAGAATATCTTCCTACCCTACCCCAACATCTATTCAAAAAAAGACTGTTACAGGGTGTTGGTTTTTTGGTTGTTTTTTTTTTTTTCCCCCAGTTTCCTGGGCATGTCTGTCAGTATACCCAGCCTTCCACAAAAGACACTATTTTTCTATTTTGGAGACATCATCCACTTGTAACTCAAGACTTCCATGGATCTAGCTGATCAAAGTGGATCAACAGGGAAACATTATAAGCTGTCCCTGAGACAGTGGCATGACTTAATAACTGAAGCACTAACAAAATAAAGGTTTCTGGTAGCTTTGAATATACAGCTATGCTCACAGCATGTGGTAAAATAGCTTAATCTGTACAAAGAACTTGTATTACGTAGGTGATGGGTTGATGAAACAGACAATAGAAAGGGGAAAAGGTCATTAAACAAAATTTATGATGAGGTTAAACAACATCTGGTACAGTTTTGCATTTATCTTTTGCACTGTTCCCAAACCTGTGTTCCTATTCAAATGTTGTGGGTCACCTCTATTTTCAGACACATCGTTTGTATGACCACATAGCTGAAAGCAAATGCCCTGTTAACTGTATATGTAAGACACCATATAGAGGACAACTCATGTAAGAACTGTGCTGCTACTCAGCTCTGATAGCTATTTAAAACTCCAAAACATCCCAAGCCAGGAATCTAGAAAGCCAGAAAACTAACAAACAAATGGCAAATGGGGAAAAGTATTAATGTTCTTTTCAAGTAATGTGGCTCTCCCTCTCATTCATTTACTTTCTTAATGAATGAAGCACTGCTGTAAATTCTTCAGTGAGCAAATTCCCAAGTATATATTTGCCTTCAGTGGGTAAAGCAGTTGTGTGCACACATTCCTCATTTTTCATACAAACTGTCTCCTGGGAAGCAACAAGTAACTTCAATTTATAAAGCCTCAGAGAGCTAAAAAAGTCCAGATTTACTACCAAATCTCTTGTTCTCCAGAGCATTCAGGCTGGGAAATATTGTTTAAAGTTAATTCTAAAATGCAGAGGATTCTTAGAGGTAAATAGTAAAGTCTCACTTTAACCCAGGACACAAGTGAGCTACATGACCTTCTTTTTACTTTTCCTCTAAGCTTCTCTTATCATGAATGTTGCAAAATAATTACACCTTCTCTTGCAAATCCACACAGCACAATAGTTACCATCACATATGTTTCAGAAAATAAAGACAACACCCAGAGATACAACATGATTTACCTTCTCAGACCGTTCAAAGAGAAGATCTTCTAATTAGATTCATCTTAAACATCCTCTGCTTTCTACTATAGCCCAGGCTCCTCTCTCAAAGAGAAATTAAGACACAGGAACTTGTATAATTAGTTGAACAAGTTATTGCTGCCTGGAAAAGAAGTTGTCTCTAGATCTGCACTCAGATTTCAAGTGTGTGTCTGAGCAGATATGCCACTGCAGAAAACTCACAAGGCATTTTAAGAGAAGATATTTCCTGATACCATTCGTCAGGTAGTACTCATTATTTCCCCCTGCACAGATCTGAGTCCTCCAGTGTCTTATCTGCAGATTAGTGGACTAACTTGTTCCACTGCTGTTACTCACCTGCTTTGCTCTGACAAAAGAGGGTGTTGAGGACTGAAAGCAGCAAAATCATGTTTTGTAGCTATTGAAAAATCTTTGTGGGCTTTGACTTAAATTATAGAGGAGGAAAACCCTGAAGATTTCCCTGCCTGAGCTGGCAGCATGCTCACTGTTGGTCAGGCCTGGAAAGCTCTGGAGACAGAGCTTTATGCCCTTGGAGAAGCTCTGCAGAGATGCAGACCTATGGCTCTGATGGCTACTGTGAAAGATGGGGAAGAGCAGGAAACTCCAAGAAACCAAAGAAAACTCTGATGTGTTATGTATGTTTCTACCTTGAACAAAATGTGGAGCCAGGAACCCACTGCACAAACAGGGGACATCTGTCCAAGTAACAATGGGGCCCTTCTCTGTACAGTGTTTGATCACAGCCAGTTCATCAATGGAGTTTGTTTCCACAGCAGTGACACATTGAGCTCTTGTAATGTCTGTGGAAAAGCCTGGGATTAAGCTCATGTTGTGCGGGATTATTTTTTAAGCAGTGATTAACCCATGAGATAGGTCTGTTCCATTGCCTGCAAACCTGGTCGCTTGCTGCTGCCTGCAATGTGGTGAGTCAGACCTCAGCCTTTTGCAGCAGTTTTAAGGTGATTAAATTGGCATGACTGATGCTCCCTACAAGAAACTAAAGCAGCAATAAAATGTTGAGCTTGCTTTCACCTGAGCGAGTCTAATCAGCTCAGAGAAGGAAGGGCCCAGTGAGTGTCAAGGCCAGAGCGAGGAGAGGAGCAGATAAGTGGTCCCAAGAAGGGAAGGGGGAAGGAACAGGGTTTGGCAGACAGGGCAGGATGATAAGGGCAAGGAGGACCTCTTACTTTCTGCCCTGGCAAGCTGTTCAACACAAGTCCATAGTCTATCCCTACAGAAAAAGCTGCATTATTTTCACCCAGTGTTGCTCCCTTGGCTGACTGCTTGCAGGTTTAGATCAGCAGCAGTGCCAGTGCAGAGGCTGAGGTGAAGAGGAGGACAGGCTTGGCTTAGTCTGAGTTAGCTGTGGCAAAACTGGTCTGAGTTAAACTCTCCTTTCCCCTCACCCCCTCCTCCTTTTTTGGTGTCTTCTTTTTGGTGTTGCTGTGGCTTTCAACAATTTTAACCAACAGGACGTTGGGGTGTGGGAATGGGAAAGAAGGTCAGGAAGGCTTTCTTAAAAGATGATTTCTGCTCAAGACCTTGTAACATCAAACTGCAGCCTAAAGGTATGAGAAATCTTGGTTTACTTTGCAGAAGAATGTGAAAATTACACAATGCCAGAGCTTTAGGTATGTAATCAACTTGGTATGCGAGCACAGGGGATGTCCTGATCATCCTGATGTTTTTTCCTGTACTCATTAATCCCGTACTGTCATGTCACCAGAAACTGTGAACTTCCTGGATTTTAAAGTTTTAAAGTTTCAATCCCAGGACATTTTTTGTTTAAACATCTGAGACTGCACTTAACCTTCACAGGCTCAGGAAAGCAAGCATAAGGTGTGTTAGAGGACACCTGCTCTGAATGAGGAGCACTCAGTCAAAACAAGGCAGAGCTACGTGGATCCTAAAATTCACTGGAAACGTGTGGTTACAAAAGCATGTGTACACATTTCAAGAGACCAGTGTAATGTTCCCACATAGGTGCAAACCTTAGAGATACTGTTCAAAGTGAAAGTTAACGTAGAAACAACTTGGACATTAGGTTAACACACAGCCCTCTTGACTCACCTACCTTCATTCCAGTCCTGGCCATTAACACTTCAGTCTCATCTCTACAATCCAATCTCAGCAATTTGTGTAACCAAATCCAGTTGTGTATCTAAATGCATAAAAAGATGCCTGAAGCTCTCAGAAGCCGGAAGGAACACTGCAGGTTCTTACACCATTTGCAATTCTTATTAGTTTCGAGTCTGAATTTTGCGTGTTCAGCCACTCAAAGATTGCTACCTAAATTCATGGTGATGTTGTTCAAAATAAGGCAAATATCATTCTTAGGTTGTTTTGTGTTTTTTTTTAACAAATATTTTTCATTTAGAACCTGGGAGATAACAGAAGTGCTCTACATGATGCTGTTGATATTTTGGCTGGAGTGCTGTGTCCGGATGTTGCTGTGTTGGAGAGCATCCAAAGGAGAGCCTTGTGAATGCTGACATGATCAGAGTGTAATCTTGTGAACAGGTTGTTCAGTTTAGATGGGACAAGACTCAAAGATGGACACAACAACAGTCTGTCAGTTGGTAAAGGACTGGCATGTGTGTTCACAGTGACAGCTGGGTGAAGGATGAAGTGAAGTCACACAATCTGAAGCAAAGATAAATACGCTGGTGATTATGGAAAATATGTAACTGTAACATTTAAAAGCCTTGAATTAGGCCACCCAGGGCATTTGCAAAGTTTCCTTCAGTAGAGGTTTTAAGAACAGGCAATAAAAATGCTGACATGGAAGAGAGTCTTTGATTCCACCTCCATGAGAGTTTGTGGCAATGGGGTGCAAGGTAGATTGTTTGTTGATCTCTTTCAATTACCTCTGGTGGAGGTTGAGGTCAGTCTCTTCTCCCAGGCAATAAGCAACAGGACAAGAGGAAATGATTTCAAGTTGCTTCAGGGGAAGTTTAGATTGAATATTGGGAAAAAATTCTTCACTGAGAGGGTAGTCAAGCATTGGAAGAGGCTGCCCAGGGAAGTGGTAGAATCACTGTGCCTGGAAATACTTAAAATACATGTAAATGAGGCACTTAAGGACATGTTTTAGTGGTGGACTTGGTAGTGTTGGGTTAATGGTTAATCATC